CCACTCCCTCCGCCTCCACCGCCGCCACCGCCACCGCCCCCCCCAGCTCCACCCGCGCCCTTGCCTCCCTTGCCCTTGCTGGAGCGACGTCTCCCACTAGGGGCAGACGCCGCGCCGACCGACTCAAGACCAAGCAGGTCGGCAGCAGCAGCAGAGGCAACAGAGGGCAGCAAGCGGGAAGGAGAGCACCCCTCAAAGATGGGGGTGCGAGGGTCACCACGAGAAGCACCTACAGCGACTATGCTCTTCTCCGCTGCAAGGAGGGCCTTCTCGAGGAGGTCGACGGTGAGAGTGGTGGGACAGACTGCGAGAAAGTGGTCCCTGACGACGCGAAGGGAGTCAGGGAGGCGCGCGACTATGTAGTAGAGAGCAATGTACGTGGGGGGGGGGGTTCTTAGCGCAGAACTCAGCAGGAAGGGCGGCGCGGTAGCGAGTGTCACTAGTGCGGAGGTGCGTAATGAGGTCAGCGACAGTGGGAAAGGCAGAGAGGTCAGGAAAGAGGTAGGGAAGCATGAGACGGCTCAGTGCAGCAGTGGCAGGGGAGGAGTAGCGCGCAACTACAGCGTCGTACAAGGTCGAAGCACTCTTGTACTGACTAAAGTGCGCACGCTCAGAGGTAGGGAGGTGGCGACGCACAGCAAGACGTGCAGCAGCATCGCGGGTGGCCCACTTAGAGCGGACAGCGGGATCAGCATCAGCAGCAGGAGCAGGAGAGGCGCCAGAGGTGAGGTCAAAGAGAGAAAGGTCGTCAGCCCTGTCGCATTGTAAGAAGAGCTGCAGGTCGTCTAACCAGACCTCAAAGTCAATGGCGCGACCCTCAGCATCAAAAGCTAGGACACTAGGGGTAGCCATGGCGACGACAGCGACGCAGTGCAAGCAGTAGGGAAAGAGCTCGCAGTGTCAGTGGGACTGTGCTCACCAGGCAGGGCAGGTCGTGCAGCCAGCAGAAAGGCGGCTCAGCGACTGGGCGGCTCGGGTGCACAGCTGCTCGGCTCCCGGGCGGCTCGGCGGCTGGGCGGCTCGGGCGCAGGGCGGCTCGGCTCCCGGGCGGCTCGGCGGCTGGGCGGCTCGGGTGCAGGGCGGCTCGGCTCCCGGGCGGCTCGGCGGCAGGGCGGCTCGGGTCCCGGGCGGCTCGGGTGCTGGGGTGGCTCGGCCGGGAGATGCAGCGTCGGGCCGGCAGGTGCAGCGTCGGGCCGGCAGGTGCAGCGGCGGGCCGGCAGGTGCAAGTGGCGGGCCGTAGGGTGCAGCGGCGAGGCCGTCAGAGGCGGCGGGCCGATGGGTGCAGCGGCGGGCCGGCAGGTGCAGCGGCGGGCCGGCAGGAGCAGCGGCGGGCCGGCAGGGTGCAGCGGCGGGCCGTAGAGTGCAGCGGTGGGCCGGCAGGAGCAGCGGCGGGCCGGCAGGGTGCAGCGGCGGGCCGTAGAGTGTAGCGGCGGGGCCGTCGGCAGTAGAGGCGGGGCCGCGTCAGGGGAGGCGGCGTGGCCGCGTCAGGGGAGGCGGCGGGGCCGCGTCAAGGGAGGCGGCGGGGCCGCGTCAGGGGAGGCGGCGGAGCCGCGTCAGGGGAGGCGGCGGGGCCGCGTCAGGGGAGGCGGCGGGGCCGCGTCAAGGGAGGCGGCGGGGCCGCGTCAAGGGAGGCGGCAGGGCCGCGTCAGGGGAGGCGGCGGGGCCGCGTCAGGGGAGGCGGCGAGGCTGCGTCAAGGGAGGCGGCGGGGCCGCGTCAAGGGAGGCGGCGGGGCCGCGTTAAGAGAGGCGGCGGGGCCGCGTCAAGGGAGGCGGCTGGGCCGCGTCAAGGGAGGCGGCAAAGCCGCGTCAGGGGAGGCGGCGGGGCCGCGAGTGAAAAGGCGACCCGAGGGGTCGCTAAAAAAAAATGGGCGCGCCTCGGGGCGCGCGTCGGTGGGCCCAGAAAACGGTCCTAAGGCAGGACCCGCTCTATACCATGTGAAAGAGGAAAACAGGAATGATTGACTATGAAAATGAAATCAGTACAAGTAGCAAACCCTAACTGGGTTGTACCCCCTATAGGATACCCCACTACAGCCTACACAACAGTATGAGCTGTATATATGTTCTGACACATGCTATCTGCCGCTGAGAGGAGTAGGGACACGTAATGGCCTCTGCGTAAGAGCGCGGGGTCCAGATATATGGTGCATCCAGGTCTCCCTCAGGTGCAATCAGCATGGACACGAGATGAGGTACAGTAGTTGCAAAACACTCAAAGTCCTCCTGCCTGTCCTCAAGGACGTCCGTGCCAAGAGCACACTCACCCCCGAGGGACGGAGGACAGACAGACTCAGACTCAGCAACAAGACTAGCGGCGTAGTCGAGGCGCTAGGCGGCAGCAAAGTCAACAAGCTCAGCAACTAGGGCAGACGCAGTAGTGGACTCGAACGAAGGGTCAGTGAAAACAGTGGCTAGAAGACGTGTGACACTAGGACTGGCAGCACGAGCAAGGTCAGACGGCGGGTCAGGAACGTCAGGAAGAGAGGACGCAGGAGGAGATGGCAGAGGGACACACTGTGGAACAGAGGAAGGACGAAATGCCATAGTGTGCGTGCCAAGGACAGGAGGAGGACGCTGACAAGGAACACAGCGACCAGTGCGAACAGCGCGAACAGGTGACGCAGGACGAGATGCAGGCTTACGACGCTCTGTAAGACCTCGTGTCTGCTCAGAGTAAGCAGAAGGAGCAGGCAGTGGGGAGGCTGGCTGTAACTACTGCTGCGACTGGTCAGGCAGTGGACACAATAAGGGAGGAGTAAGGCCAGTAGAAGACGGGAGACCAAGAACCTGCTGAAGCAGTGGAACGAAGTACGGTCGCGGCCGCATAGTGCCTCCAAAACAAGCACCGACAGCACCAGCACCCCCAGGGCCAGCACCTCCAGCTCCAGGGTCTCCATCTCCAACGCATGCAGCACCACCAACTCCAGCAGCTCCATCACCTCCAGTACGAGTACCTCCGGGACTAGCGGCTCTAGCACCTCTAGCAGCTCCAGCTCCAGCGCCTCCAGCTCCAACTCCTGCAGCACCTCCAGCTCCAGCAGCTCCAGTACCTCCGGTACGAGCACCTCCGGTACCAGCGGCTCCAGCACCTACAGCACCTCCAGCTCCAGCACCTGCAGTACTACCGGCTCCAGCAGCTCCAGTACCTCCATTACACGCACCTCTGGGACCAGCGGCTCCAGCACCTCCAGCACCTTTAGCTCCAGCGCCTCCAGCTCCAACGCCTGCAGCACCTCCAGCTCTAGCAGCTCCAGTACCTCCAGTACGAGCACCTCTGGGACCAGCAGCTCCAGTGCCTCCAGCTCCAGGGCCTCCAGCGGCAGGCCCCCCAGCTCCAGCAGCGCCACTCCGAAGGCTCCAGCGCCGAGAAAACCACTCGCGCAGCTACGGTGGAGAGAGAGGCTCCCGTCGTGACGAGGCACCTATAGGACCTCCAGCAGACAATGGACCTCCGGGCTCAGCACGCTCAGGCTCAGCACCCCCAGGCTCCGCACCCTCAGACTCAGCAACCCCATGCTCAGCACCCCTAGGCTCTGCACGCTTAGGCTCAGCACCCCCAGGCTCCGCACGCTCAGGCTCAGCACCCCCAGGCTCCGCACCCTCAGCAGCACCACCCCCAGCAGCACCAGAGTCGACAGCGACCACGACAGGCTCTACAGGGTCTACCTGAGACAAACCTATGGAGCATGACCCTGAGGGGGGAGGGGGTCTACCGGAGGAGGTTCTGGTGCGAGTAAGAGCGGCGGGGGGGGGGGGGGGGGGGGAAGAGGGGCAATGCGGTAGGGGAAGAGATTGTAAAAGGGAAACGACTCGACAAACGTGAGGTCCTGAGAGGGCAGGACACGGCACGAGGTGGGGTATTAAAACTGCCAGCCAAGCGCGTCAGGGGAAAGCCAAGGAAGACGCAGGGAATGGCGCAGGAGGAGAGCTTGTCCGCGGACGTATCGCGGACAAAGGCACGAGAGCCCCAGACCCGGAACACCGACGCATCGCCAACCTTCCCCGTCCAACGCAGTGTAGGCGAGGTCTCTGGTAAGGAGACACAAGGCCAGAGGTTGAGCTGATTCGCAGCGTACCGGACCGCAAACGGCCACATCAAATAGGGGGCAGCCGCATGGATCATGGAGGTACGAGCGACCTCCATGACTAAGCCAATGCGGCGCTCAGCAACCCCATTATGCTGCGGAGAGGCCGGAAGCGTGAACGACTGGCGAATGCCCTCCCCACAACAAAAGTCCCGCAAGAGGTCAGAGGCAAACTCACCACCTCTGTCAAAGTGAAGACGCAGGACTGGACGGTCCGTGTGGAACCGCTCGCGGAGCTGGAGACGGACAGCGCGGATCCAAGGGATCAAAACATCAGGGACCTCCCCCTTGCTGCGCAAGGGGAAGACTGTGGTATAACGCGAGTAGTCATCAACAACCAGCAGAAAGTAGCACTCGCGGCCCTGTCCACGGACGCGGGCTGGGCCCCACACGTCCATGTGGAGAGTCTGCAGGGGAGCAGTCGTCGGGGGAAACGAGGAGGAGTGAGGAGCGGCGCGCTGCCGCCCTTCGACACAGGGAAGGCAAGGAGGGTAAGGCGAGGGTGGGAGGGGAGGCAGAGGCCTGGGAAGACCAGAGACAAGGAGACGGGAGTGCATGCCACGGAGGCGTGGCATGGAGGGGTGACCAAGGCGGTGGTGCCAAAGGAGCGTCTGGTGTGACAGGGCGTGACACGAGCAGGGGGCCGCTAGCTGACCTGCCGCAGACGCAGACGCAGCAACCTGACGCAGACGCACACGCAGACGCAGGCTCAGTAGTCAGTGTGTACCGACTCGACCCAGGCTGACGGGTGAACGTGGCCAGGTGCCGGCCAGTCCGGGAGCACGTGCAGATTGCCACACGCTGTCCTCCAGGGGTGAAGGTATCAACCAATTCATCCTGAAGGACGGCGTTGCTCACCAAGTTCGTAGAGAACGAGGGGAAGTGAAGACCTGGCAGTGAGCCAGACGGAACCGCTTAACATGGGAGAACAGTGGAGGAACGTGCAAGGACTGGGCCCCCAGAGGGGTCAGCCAGAGAGACAGCAACAGGTGCAAGGAGCGGTGTGACTGTGGGACTGTCGCGAAAGAAACAGCGGGAAGCACCTGAGTCAAGCGTGAAGGTGTGCAAGGCCTTAGCAGGCGCAGTACCAGAGAGAGAAGACTCACTAGCACCTAGAGCAGCAGCCTCGATACCTGGGTTGGGCGGCATACACAGGTAACAGTCACCCTCAGCACTAACAATCAATGCATACATGGCAGCAAGGATAGCATCATAATCAAGAGCAAAGATATCCACACCCTGCCTAAGCAGCTCTGCCCAGCGGGGGAGCTCAGTCGTGTCGAGAAACTCTGCGCGAAAGGCGTCGTTAAGACGGGAGAAGCAGTGGCACTGTGTGTGACCAACCTTCCCGCATGTCTGACCAGCGCGGTCACCTGTGCAAACGACGTACTGGCAGCTAGCACTACCCCCAGACGCCCCATGCTGAGCAAACCATTCACGAAGCTCCTTGGACGTAGGAGTCTCACTCTGACGCTGCTGCTGCTGCCTCTGACCACCGCCAGAACGGCTCTTCTGACCGGCTCCACCCCGACCGCCACCACTGCCACCGCCACCACTCCCACTGCCGCCACCACTGCCGCCGCCACCACTCCCGCTGCCGCTGCCACCGCCGCCCCCAAAGCCTCCAATCCCACCACCACTCCCTCCGCCACCACCGCCACCTCCACCACCTCCACCGCACCCACCACCGCCTCCACCGCTGCCACCCCCACCACCCTTGCCTCCCTTGCCCCTGCCGCTATGGCGCCTCCCACGAAGGTAGTCAGCAGCAGCAGCAGAATGGACTGAGGGGACAAGGGGGGAGGGGGAACACCCCTCAAAGAAGGGAGTGCGAGGAGTGCCACGAGAAGCGCCTACAACGACTATGCTAGTCTTTGCTGCAAGGAGGTGCTTCTCGAGCAGGTTGACAGTGAGGTCTGTGGGGTCAAGGGTGAGAAGGAGGTGCTTGACTGCGCTAAGAGAGTGAGGGAGGCGGGTGACGATGAAGTAGAGAGCGATGAACATGGGAGGGGGGTTCTTGGCTAGAAACTCGGCGGGAAGCGCGGCGCGGTAGTGAGTGTCACTAGTGCGAAGGTGAGTGACGAGGTCAACAACTGTGGCAAAGGCGGACAACTCAGGAAATAGGTAGGGCAGTATGAGGCGGCCTAGAGCAGCAGTGGCCGGGGAGGAGTAACGAGCGACTACAGCATCGTACAGGGCTCTAGCAGTCTTGTGCTGTCCAAAGTGAGCGCGTTCGGCTAACGGCAGGTGGTTGCGAATGGCTAGGCTAGCAGCAGCGTCATGGGTAAACCATTGTGAGTGAGTTTCACTGTCAGCTGTGTCAAGAGGGGCGAGAGAGGCGCCAGACGTGAGGTCAAACAACGAAACGCCGTCTCTAGATTTGCTCAATAGGTACAGCTGCAGGTCATCGAGCCACGCATCAAACTCAATCGGAAGCCCTCAGGATCGAATGTAAGTATGTTGAGAGTAGCCATCGCGGGCAGAGCAGGGTGGCGCACAAGCAGCAGGGCAGCATGCAAGCTCTAGGGGCGCACGCAGGGCAGGGCGAGGTGGCGCACGGCTAGGGCAGAGCGGCGGCCAGCAGGGTGTCAGAATGTTATTTGTCTAGCCTGCAGTGGGGTGCTCAATACTGAGTACAACCCCTTAGGGTTTTCTATTTGTGTGTCCTGCTGCTTGCTAGTCCATCATTCCTTCCTTCCAATTCTCCTTCCCAAACCCTAAGTCCTAGTTCTAAAGCACCTTACCTACCTCCTAGTGTGGGCCTAGGCTACTAAGCCTAGGCCCCACCTCCTACTATTCTAACATGTTATCAGAGCCCGTTCTCCCTTGGCCTGTGGGCCCCTATGCTTCCGCTGCAGTCCTTCTTCCTGCCGGCGAATTTTTTTTTAGGGTTTCGGAGTTTTTAATCCCGCCGTGCGCTCGGGGCGCGCGGCGGTTTTCCCGTCTGTCGAAGCGCCCTCGGGGGGGCCTGCGCGCTGCCCTCCCCGCTGCTCGTCGCGACGCCCGTGCGGGACCCGCGCGGCGTCGCCCTGCTCGTCGCGACGTCCGTGCGGGACCCGCGGGGCGTCGCCCCTGCTCGTCGCGACGTTCGTGCGGGACCCGCGCGGCGCCGCCCTACTTGTCGCGACGTCCGTGCGGGACCCGAGGGGCGTCGCCCCTGCTCGTCGCGGCGTCCGTGCAGGACCCGCGGGGCGCCGTCAGAGCCAGCAGCAACCGCCGCCAGAGCCTACAGCAGCGGCCGCCACCACCCAGCAGCAGCAGCCGCCGCCAGGCCTGCAGCAGCTGCCGCCACCGCGCCTGCAGCAGCAGCTGCCGCCGCTCTGCAGCAGCAGCCGCCGCTCTACCAGCAGCAGCAGCCGCCGCCGCTCTGCAGCAGCAGCCGCCGCCGCCCAGCAGCAGCAGCTGCCGCCAGAGCCTGCAGCAGCAGCCCCTGGAGCCGCCACTGCAGCAGCAGCCCCAGGAGCAGCCGCCCCAACGGCAGCAGCCCCTGCAACGGCCACCCCTGCAGCAGCAGCCCCTGGAGCCGCCACTGCAGCAGCAGCCCATGGAGCAGCCGCCCCAGCAGCAGCCGCCCCAGCAGCAGCCGCCCCAGCAGCAGCAGCCCCTGGAGCCGCCACTGCAGCAGCAGCCCCAGGTGCAGCCGCCCCAGCAGACGCCGCCCCTGGACCCGGTATGCCCTGTGCTGCCTGCTGCCTGTGCTGCCCGTGCCTGTGCTGCCCGTGCCTGTGCTGCCTCTGCCTATTGCTGCCCGTGCCTGTGCTGCCCTGTGCTGCCTGTGCCTGTTGCTGCCTGTGCTTGTTGCTGCCCGTGCCTGTGCTGCCCTGTGCTGCCCGTGCCTGTGCTGCCCGTGCTTGTGCTGCCTGTGCCTGTGCTGCCCGTGCCTGTGCTGCCCGTGCCTGTGCTGCCCGTGCCTGTGCTGCCCGTGCCTGCTGCTGCCCGTGCCTGTGCTGCCCTGTGCTGCCTGTGCCTGTGCTGCCCGTGCCTGTGCTGCCCGTGCCTGTGCTGCCTGTGCCTGTTGCTGCCCGTGCCTGTGCTGCCCTGTGCTGCCTGTGCCTGTTGCTGCCTGTGCCTGTTGCTGCCCGTGCCTGTGCTGCCCTGTGCTGCCCGTGCCTGTGCTGCCCGTGCTTGTGCTGCCTGTGCCTGTTGCTGCCCGTGCCTGTGCTGCCCTGTGCTGCCCGTGCCTGTTGCTGCCTGTGCCTGTGCTGCCCGTGCCTGTGCTGCCCGTGCCTGTGCTGCCCGTGCCTGTGCTGCCCGTGCCTGCTGCTGCCCGTGCCTGTGCTGCCCTGTGCTGCCTGTGCCTGTGCTGCCCGTGCCTGTGCTGCCCTGTGCCTGTGCTGCCCGTGCCTGTGCTGCCTGTGCCTGTTGCTGCCCGTGCCTGTGCTGCCCTGTGCTGCCTGTGCCTGTTGGTGCCTGTGCCTGTGCTCCCCGTGCCTGTGCTGCCCGTGCCTGTGCTGCCCGTGCCTGTGCTGCCTGTGCCTGTTGCTGCCCGTGCCTGTGCTGCCCTGTGCTGCCCGTGCCTGTGCTGCCCTGTGCTGCATGTGCCTGGTGCTGCTCGTGCCTCGTCCTTGCGCCCTCGTGCGCTCTGCTACTGTCTGCGCCCTCGTGCGCACTGTTTCTGCTCTCCCCCCCCCCCCGTTTGCGGGTATGGGGGTGGCTGGTGTGCATTCCTCCCTTTGCTCCTCCTCCTCCTTCGTCTCCCACTGCTGCAGCTGTCGCTGAGGGGGGTGGTTGTGTGGGAGACTGGGGTTTAGGGTTTAAGGGGCGTGCGTGGGAGTGGAGCTAGCGGTGTAGCAGCGGGTGTGTGTCAGGGGGGTGGGACTGTTTGGGGAAGCTGCATGGAAGTTGCCGTACTGTAGTCCGCAGCACCTGTAGTCCGGGGCGCTGTCCCGGTAGCCCAGTGAGCTAGACTTCTACGCCAGCCGCCTGTGGGTCCGTTGCCCGTCCGCCGCTATTTGAGCCGCGGGGCCTGTTACTCCTGTAGTCCGGGCGCTGTCCGGTAGCCGCTGTGCCAGTCTGCCTCCTGTTGCCCGTGTGTCTGCAGCTTCAGCCGTCGCCTCCTATCTCCTCTCCCCTAACTCTCTCACCTCCTCCTCACTTGCCCGTTGTGACTACCACCAGCTTTGCTCATAATTCTTAACTTTAAACTATTGTTTCTTTAACTCGTGCTCAGAATGTGTGGTGACATTGTGATCCACCCTGAGCTTGTACTGCTTTGCGTGCTCTGCTGATTACACCCCACTTTGGCTATGGGGGTGTGTCAGAATGTTATTTGTCTAGCCTGCAGTGGGGTGCTCAATACTGAGTACAACCCCTTAGGGTTTTCTATTTGTGTGTCCTGCTGCTTGCTAGTCCATCATTCCTTCCTTCCAATTCTCCTTCCCAAACCCTAAGTCCTAGTTCTAAAGCACCTTGCCTACCTCCTAGTGTGGGCCTAGGCTACTAAGCCTAGGCCCCACCTCCTACTATTCTAACACAGGGCAGCGCGTAAGAAGGGCAGGGCTGGGCGGCGGCCAGTAGGGGGGCTCGCAGCCAGGGCAAGGCAGGGCGGCAGCCAGCAGGGTGGCACGTGAGCAGGGCAGGGCGGCGCGGCGGCGAGCGGCGCGCGGGCAGGGCAGGGTGGCGCGGCGGCGAGCAGCGCGTGGGCAGGGAAGGGCAGCGCGGCGGCAAGCGGTGCGCGGGCAGTGCAGGGCGGCGCGGCAACAAGCAGCGCGCGGGCAGGGCAGGGCGGCGCGGCGGCGAGCGGCGCGCAGGCAGGGCAGGGCGTGTGCGGGCGGCGCGACGCAGGGCAGGGCGTGCGTGGGCGGCGCGAAGCGGAGCAGGGCGCGCACGGGCGGCGCGACTCGGGACAGGGCGCGCGCGGGCAGCGCGACACAGGGCAGGGCAGGGCAGCGCGGCGCTAGCTGGGCAGCGCGTCGGGCAGGGCAGGGCAGTGCGAGGACAGCAGGGCGGTGCGACGGGTGGGGTAGCGCGATACGTGCAGCGAGCTATGCGGTGGGCCCTAAAAAAAATGGTCCTAGGAGAGGACCTGCTCTGAAACCATGTCAATAGGATAAGCGAGAATGATGAAACTAACAGCATGCAGGGGTACAAGTAGCAAACCCTAATTGGGTTGTACCCCATAAGGGCTACCCCACTACAGCCTACACAATATGATAGTTTGACAACAAGGAGAAAAATACAGGGTTACTTCAGCCTCTACCTGTACCGGAGCAGCCATGGCAAGTTGTCAGTCTAGATTTCATTACTGGGCTACCATCCAGGAATCGATGGCATAATTATATAGTCGTGGTAATTGGCAAGTTTTCTAAATGGGACACTTCATCCCTACCAACACCACGCGTACAGCTAAAGCAGCTGCTTGCGTCTTCTTCACGACATCGTCACCACCCACGGCATTCCCGCTACACTCATCCCAGACAGAGACCCTAAGTTCACCAGTAAGTTTTGGAGGGAACTCATGGGTTTTTTTGGGACAAAGTTGGCAATGTATTCAGCATACCACCCCAAACAGATGGATAGTCAGAGTGACTCAATCAGGTGGTTGAACAGTAACTACATACAGCATGCAAAGACGATATCAGCCACTGGGATATTTAGTTACCGAACCTCAAGTTGGTTTACAACAACGCTTCATACGGCGACCACAGGGAAATCACCTTTTCTCATGTACTATAGACATGAACCTATCACACCACGGAAGCCAATTATACTGGCACACGTGCAATCCACTCATGACTTCGTCACCACCATGCAGCGGCTACAAGAGAATACTCAGAATTTGTATGCCGATGCAACGTGATGACTCAGCAGCAGTCAAAGATCAGGTTCTTTTAGACACATGCAACATGGACCTACCTCACCTCCCGTCCAAGCTCCGGCCTCGCTTTTGTGCTCGTTTTTGCGTTGAGGCCATGGTGACACCCGTTACATTTCGCTTGCGCTTACCCACCATATGGAAGATTCACAATGCTTTCCACATTCATCTACTGAGGCCCTACAAGGAC